TGATGTTGCCAACTGGAGTGGTGTCTTATCCTGTAGTGATTGCAGTTGTCTGTGGAATTCCTCCTCCTTCTCTTCATCAGCATTATTTGTAGGTGCACAGTGTAGCATTGTATGATTGTGACTTTTTTTCCTGCACTTCGTCCAGAAATACCACCTGCAGCCGCTGAATTACAAGTGAACATAAATCCCCCAACGAAAATGGAAGTCCTGAACGCCATAAAGCTACTGAAATGCTGAAAAGCAGCAGGACCAGACGGGATACCGCCAGAAGCACTGAGAACAGACACAGAGACAACAGCGGACATGCTCACACCACTATTGCAGAAGGTGTGGAAGGAAGAGAAGGTACCTGCAGATTGTAAGAAGGACTACCTTGTCAAACTCCCGAAGAAAGGAGACCTCAGTGTTTGCAAGAACTGGCGCGGAATCACTCTCCTGTCCACCCCAAGTAAAATATTAAGCCGCATCATCCTGGAGAGGCTTAAAGATGCACTGGATTCAAAACTGCGACCGGAACAGGCAGGCTTCAGGAAGTACAAATCATGTACGGACCAAATTGCAACGCTTCGCATCATCATAGAACAGAGCATAGAATGGCAATCAGCTCTCTACCTCAACTTCATCGACTTTGAGAAGGCCCTGAATAGCGTCGACCGAGAAGTAATTTGGAAACTGCTTCACTACTACGGAGTACCGCAAACCTTTATCCGCCTCATTCAACAACTATATGAAGATGCCACATGCCAAGTAATTCACAATGGGAAGCTTAGTGATGCTTTTGCAGTGAAGTAAAGACAGGAGTGAAACAAGGTTGCCTACTATCCTCCATGATATTCCTGATTGTGGTGGACTGGATCATGCAGCAAACAGTAAGCAGCGAGAAGAGGGGGATACGCTGGACTGCGGAAAAGAACCTAGAAGACTTCGATTTCGCCGATGACTCGTGCCTGATGTCACATAAACTTAAAGATCTACAGGCGAAAACTAACAAGTTGATAGAAAAGGTGAGGCAGCGAAGACGGGACTTCAAGTGAACCTAGAGAAGACGGAGATGATGAAGACACCCAACGAACAACAACAACAAACTCCAGTCACCATCAACTGGAGAAACTTAAAGGAAGTAACCTCCTTCACCTATCTAGGCAGCACTGTTTCAACTACAGGCGGCACAGACGAGGATGTCAAAGTCAGAATCGGAAAAGCAAGACAGGCGTTCATTAGCCTGAAACCAGTGTGGAGATCTTCTGCACTCAGCATGCGGAACAAGATCCGGATTTTCAACACCAACGTCAAGTCAGTGCTTCTATATGGTTCAGAGACTTGGTGCGTTACGAAAGGGATTTCCAGCAAACTACAGATATTCATCAACAACTGCCTACGCTGACCCGATACTGAAGATCAGATGGCCAGAAAGAATAAGCAACAAGGAGCTCTGGGAACGAACCAACCAAGGACCTATCACCCAACAAATATGCAGGAGGAAGTGGAGATGGATTGGGCATGCACTGAGAAGGCCGAGTGGGGACATCACGCGTCATGCCAGGTACTCGAGTGGAATCCCCATGGGAAACGACGAGTTGGACGTCCGAGGGTGACATGGAGGAGGTCGTGCGAGGAGGAAATGAGAGCTTCTGGGCTGTTGTGGAACCAGGTTCAAAAGATCTCAGAGAACAGAGGTCACTGGAGACGTGCTACTGAAGCCCTATATTCCACTAGGAACCCAAGGGACTAATAATAATAATAATAATTAATACTGATCAACTTCGATACAAGAATTATCCACCATTAATATATCGAATGTCACAACTACTCAGTTTGAACAATAAACCACCAAACCAATGACATACATATTAATTATTTGACTATATATTTCGATGTTAGTGAAATACCTGAATATTCCACTGAAGAAGGCGTGGCTTATATGTTTAGAAAAACCTTGTTTTGATACTCCAAAGATTCAACGATCATATTAAAGTATAATCTTTATGATGAATAAATCAGGCTTGGTGCTAAACTTCTTCAAGGACATGCGTAACATTTAGGTCTGGATGTTAGTAAACAATATGTACACTTAGTGTCATTGCTTGTATTACACTGTCGTTAACTGTACCGAATCGATCGGTCTCTATTGGCATATGGGCTCCTGTGCGGATGCCTCGATACTGCCTGCGTTCTAATATGTACACTTGCCTAAAAATACTTCCAATTTCATCTGCTTCAAAGACAATCATGGTAAAACTGTGCTCTCCAAACATACTTTGTTAGGAAGTCATATATCCAATGTGGATACACACTAATCAAAGTTATTGAAGTAAATTGGATAAATATAGTGGGCTAGGTTGTGAAATATTACAGTTCGAACGAAGTTAGCTAAAACTTCCAAAGGATATTTCACTCCGACACAATCTGAAAGCGATCGGTTCGATCTCTGGGAAAATATGTGACCACTGCAGAATATAAAACAGCTTCGAATCATCAGTCACCTTGAAGCTACAGCAGACTTGGCTGAATACTATCAAAAAGCACAAACGTCACCCTTGCGTTCACCCCCAAATATCGACATTACATGTCATAGGGGTGTAAATCCATATTAAGAAAAAAAGATTTATCACCACAACTATCGAAATAAATAGCAATCTCTGTTTATTCTAACATAAACATTACTAATTCGTAAAATAATATTTCGGAGGCTTCCTTGTTACCTAAGACTTTACTAATTTGATAGCTTTCATTATAGCTCACCTTTACAAGATATCGATCTATTATTCTATGTGACAGACACAAATAACAAAGGTGAACCACCCGAAACGCCTACATAAGTGTCTTCCTGGTGGTCCTCAGTGTTAATGTTACAAGTAGGGTGCTAGACGAGGAGAATTGGTCAAGGTATGAGGTTGTGTAACTCCACCAGGTGCAGCGGATGTGAACAATGTGATATGAATATTTCAAGTTGTTATTCATCGAAGACTGACATCAGTTGGAGGAACAAAGGAAACCTGGGAGCACTGGACAGCTGTTTCGTCCTAGTATGGTGTCAGTCTTCGATGAATAACAACTTGAAATATTTCCAAATCTCCACAACCCCTCAAAATATAATTGACATGAATATGTCCGAAACGTTATCCAGTAAATGATACCACTTCACTGTGACATTTCTAATGAACAGACTAAAAGAAATGTTTGAAAACTTAACCTACGCTAGTTTATTCTTCCTTCCCAACTATCTGGATATTTTTGGCCACTATTTCTTTTCTTCGTATTTTGTTAATGTCGAAACTTAAAACGTTGGATTTTTTTATCTAGGTGCCACACTGATACAGATCCAATATCGTATGAACACCCATCATTATGACTTTCAGTAGAGAAATATTCAGTCTTTATACGTCCAAACGATAATTTTGAGACAAGCGGGGGACAATAAATTTGAGGATTGTTGACAACGTGAAAATTTCTTTGAAAACCTCTTTATGATGTGGCTGTAAGCTGTGTTGGTATAACACCAACACATTCATTAAAAGGAGAATATATGAAGCGGTTATGGGTCTTCGAGCATAGCATTGCTGGCATGAGGTGGAATTTGTGAACAATGTCGAGGTCAGACGAAGGGTGGGTGGGGTGGGAAGGTGGTTGATGGCAACGGGCCACCGCCTACCTGAAGGTGCAGTACTAGAAGTTGGAGTAGGTTGGAAGATGGCTTGAGATAACCAGACCGGCATGTGGTATCAATCCATGAAATTTCTGAGTGTTCGTACGAGAAGTGTAAACTGCCTGGTTGGGGTCTTCAAGATGATCGGAATCAGTGGTTGAGGACTCGTGGTGAAATGTCTGAGAATCGGTTAGTGACACAGATGTGTTCACTTCTTCACGCACTGAAACGTTTGGATACTTTCAGTAACCTTCATTCTCAAATCCCATCTCCTTCCACACACCTCTGTTTACTTTGAGATCAGATTTTTCCATCCATTTGTTCTTCGCATAGTGTCGTGAAGTGTGGAAAGTTGAACCGATTCACTTATGTGCGCGGTTCTATGGTGATTTTTTCTACCTGATACATTCCTGTTACATTAGTTAGATGTTGATTGGTACAAAGATTCGGTAGTCAGTTATTTACTGTTTAACAATATCGGTGGAAAGATTAATCACTGACCAAATCCATTGTGCTTGAAATGTCTTCTACTAAATGTTAGTGTATAAACTAATATTAACATGGTCGTCACCCTAAAATTTCAATACGACTATCACATTCGGACGTTTGCTTCTTTATGCCATTGTTTTTTTCTAACGTCCTACGACTTTCGATTGATTGTACAATGCTTATTTCTCAGTCTTTTTGAGTTTTGCCCCATATGTCTAATTGTTCAACCTCCTATCAATGGGCCATGGGTCCCAGTCCTGCTCCACTCACCAAGATTCAAATGGCCTAGTAGTATGATTCACTCTTAATCGATAGATGTGACTCACCGCCTACTGCACATGACTCCTGAGTGCATTTCGCTTCGATTTCTCAGTCTCCTTTCTTATTACTTTTCATATAGGTGCGATGATGTAAGCTATGGTGAATCATGCAGTTACGCAGTGATGCCAGGTCCGGTATTGATAATGATTGACTGAGTGAGTGGAACTATGAAGGTCACGAATTATCTTCATGCATGACCAGTTCTCATGCGGTGCACGTAGTGTGTTTTTAGAATAAAAACTCTCCTGTGACATTGTAATAAATATTTATAATAAATTGATTCTTTCTACGATGCACAAAGAATTTTCATAGATATAATTGTTCACCAGTTCTAGATGATTTATAAGGTAGTATTCATTACGAATTGATGTCATTTGCAGAACCACTGAAAATCCGGGAACAGTGGACAGCTGTTTCACCCTATTGTGGAAGTCATCGGCAGCACGCAACCACGACCGCACCAGGGAACGAACTCAGGACTTTCAGGTTTCACGGCAAACGCGTTAACCATGATAAACGCTACCTTAAAAATAAAACTCCTACTCACTTCAAGCTAATTTGTAAGTCAAAACAATAAATATTTACGTTCTAAATATCACAAAGTGAAAATTGAGTTTCTCTTTCAGCAGCGTAAGACACGATACTTTGTAAAAGGAATCATAAATACTGACAACATATGCAGAAAAAGATAGTTATACGCAGAGAATTAAATGTGTGCAAAATGTATATAAAATTTCTTTTTTACGCAAATCGATGGACTGAGGTTGAAAAGAAATTGAAACTATAATGGCCAGTTGGATTGCACAGTTCCTCCTTTCCCTTGAATGGTTCACGGATTGATCATCCAAATCTGTCTTAGATATAATTTGCTTCTTCATATCAACTAGAATTATCACAGCTTTATGGTACGATATGAATTATTATAGAAGTTATTTTTGCACATAACCATATATTTTGTGTGTGTGTGTGTGCACATAATTTGTAAGAAAGAATACATGAGATTAGAGATAGAAACATATTTTAACAAAGTAGGTATCACAGAGTGACTGATCAAGGAGATCATAGTTACACTGATGAGTTTTCTTCATTGGAAAAGGCATTAACAGTAGAGGTAGAAATAGGAAACCATAAGAAATAAACAATCAACTATATGCTCTTGTAAATCAAAAAGTAGAGGGAGAGAGATAGAGAGGTTCACTGAAATCATATTGTCAGTTTGCATAGGCATTGTGACATATTACATCATTTGATTCAGAATTATCAGTATCTGTGCTGGGTTGATTCGATGATGTCTCTTGACTGTTTGGTGGAGTGATTAAAGTCAGTGTGGAATTCATTTGACAAAGTTTTAAGTGTATAAATAGAACACAAGTTCCGTGACTCATAACATTGACCACGGTGCGTAATCGATCACTGGTAAGGTGTGACAAGATGGAAAATAAACAATAAACTGAATGAGATACGAGTGGTTAGATTAAATAAATACAAATTAAAACAATCAATTTGCAGCAACTCTTACAGTAGTGTTCTCTAGTCATCCTTTACTTGGCAAAAGCCTGGAAGATAAGATCCTGCATCTGGTCATCTCTATGTGCATTTATTAGTTCACCTGCTCCTGTGCAGTCGGGTATATCGGCCGTCGAATATGAGGGTTCTGTCCAAACGAGTTCAAGAACACCATCCTATGTGGCTACGAAGAGGTAACACTGGATCTGTAAGAAGTACCATAATGGAACACCTTGACATTCAATTTCAACAACAATCTCTTTCAAATCTATTAACAAACTGGAAAACAACTTGCCAAAGTCAGTACGCATCTACCTCCGTTGTATTCCTGAAGCTTCAGTAATTCAGACAGAAAAGCCGAAGCTTTGAATACGAAAGGGACTTGGTCAACCTTTTACCTTCCATAGTCTCGATCTCTAGTGTTTCAAAGCTTCCCCCCTTTCATTCTATTCATTTGATACATATCTACTACTCACTGTTTCTATGCCCACTCCCTTAACAATTCATTTGTAAAATATTTGATGGGCTTTAAAGATCACTCTAGCAACAAATGAAATAACCAGTTAGACTACTCTATTTTATGAAAATCTGCCTTTCCAGACGAAATGAAGAAACCTAACTGGTTATTTCGATCTTTGCTAGGGTGGCCTTCAAAGTCGCTCAAATATTTAACCATATTACTCAACTTGTTATTCAAACTTAATCATATTTTTCAAGTTGGTATTCATCATGGATTGACATAAGTTGGAGGAACATTTGGAACCTAGGTGTAATGGACAGCTGCTTCGTCCTAGCATGAGACTCTTCAATAGTACGCACCCGTGACCCCGCCAGGGATCGAACTCAGGAACATGGAGATAAATACTCAACGATGACCTGATGAATACCAACTCAATTCAATTAATCTAGTGTTCATTGGTGACTAGCTTTGAGAGGTGATTCCTGGAGTTCTAGTGGGAATTCGTGACCGGTGGGGTAAACCTGGTGAACGTGAGAAATACTCAACGATGACATTGGATGGTGGCCATTCTGTGTCGTGAACTGATAGAAGTTGGAAATATGGACCATGAATTCCAACCCAGTGGCTCAATGGTAACGTGCTGGCCATGGAGCCTGAAGGTTGTGAGTTCGATCCCTGGCCGGTGGGGTCATGGGTGCACTGTGCTGAGGAATCATATGCTGAGACGAACCAACTGTCTATTGTTCTCAGGTTTCTAACGTTCCTCCAACTGATGTCAGTCCATGATGAATACCAACTTGGAAAATCACTAAATCCCTACAAACCCCCAAATTCAATTATTCATATTTACTTAGTTTCTATGATATCTTGAGCAATACATACTAGTTTTAGTAATCCTCTACTTTTATGTCATGATAATTTAACTTTGCTTGTTACTATCCCTTTTCATTCCGTTTTAATATTCACAAATATTTTGATTAGTTTAGCATGAAAATCCTATTTTAGTTTTTTATGCATATGTATCACCATGTTTGTTTCAATGCTTTCCCGCATGAAACAAATTGTACATTCTCATCAAAAATTGTATATGAATGACGTGTTACAGGTTAGTGAATGAATTCGCCGAAAAAAATCGCTTCATTGAACCACTCTTCTTCACTTTCAAAAAAAAGTATCAGGCAATTTCTAATCTGGATGGTGGTTCGTTTGATGACGAAAATTGATAGAAGTAGGAAAGTATGCACCATGCGGTTCTGACTCTCGTAAGGTGCTCACTGGACCTAGGGATTCTGGGTTTGATACCTCGCAGTGTATTGGATGCATATTGCTAAGAAGTCCTATACTAATAAAGAACAAATAAAGCACAAGAAATCCAAATTTAGGCCAACCAAACAAGCAATTATTAGCATCTTAAGTCAGTTGAATATTTCTGTAGCAAATTAATGTCTCATTTAATTGATCAGGATTCAGTTTGGAGGTTTGTGGGAATTTATTTATTGATTTCAGGTTAGTATTCATCCCCACCAAGTTCTAAATTGAATAATTCTAGTGTTCACTGGTGACTCGCTTCGAAAGGTGATTCTTGAAGTTCTGATGAGAAGTCATGACCGGTAGAGCCAAGCAAGTTGAATATGAAGACAGATATTCAACGACATCATTGGAAGAAGTTCACGTCAAATCGTGAACTGAGAGAAGTAGGGAACATGGACCACTGAATTCCAATCTAGTGGCTCAGTGGTAACGTGGTGGTCTTGGGTTTGACCCCTGGCGGGGTTGCGGGTAGACCCTGATGAAGAACCCCATACCAGGACGAAACAGCTTTTCAGTGCTTCCAGGTTTCTAATGTTTCTCTAACTGATGTCGGTCTGTGATGGATACCAACCTGATCACGATTATTTGAAGATATGTATCGGCCTGGATGACGAAGACTTTCGAGTACTGGCCAAACTCGACAATCGCATGTATGCACTGTGTAACATCTTTTTGCCAACGAATACCATTAATCTCTTCTGGGTTCAAGGCCCATCACATTGGATTTGATGACAATCTCCTGATGATTAAGTCCTTAGAGTGAGATTCTAAATATTAATGATAATATGGATTCATCGTTTTTCATAACCATATGAAATGTATCATTTTATTATTAACAACACACTTTATATACTCGAATACAGAATGACTAATATTCTGTTAACCATATTTAGCTATATGTTGCGATTGTTAAAGTGTATATAGGCCTGATACTCTTATCAGGTTTACCTTGTTTAAACCTGTGTTTTGTGCATTTCAACTACCTGACAAGAATCGAATAATGCAAAACAAAAATCCATCAAAAAAGACAACAAGCAAAAAAGTTTAGTAGTCTTGTAAATACTACAAAACTTTATCAGGAAAAATGACAATTTCCTAAAGCGGGGACCTATATACGATACTCTTCTTGTATGAGATATTAGGCTGGTAACGTGGAAATTAACTGAAAAACTGAAAAGCGTTTTAATTGATGTCATTAGTTGAAGACCCTTTATATTGAATAGAGTTTCAACAGTAAATTAGACTGAAGCGATTTACATAGACGAATAAATATGAGAATATAACTCAAAATAACTGCATTAGACAGCTTGGTTCACCACATTCCACCTCACGACATGGTAATCAGATAAAAGTCAAAGAAGTGGAAGTATGAGGAGTTTTAGTAGGTAGTAGGACGAAAGGGAAATGCGCCGAAGTAAATGAGGAAATTTGACATAAAAATTAATATGACAATGAGGTAAGAGAAAATTTAATCCGCATTCATCGACCCTGAACCATTTCACTTAGTAACAATATCGGTTTCGGTGATCTTACTGACCCCAAAATTTAGAATCTGAAATTTCCTTGCATCACTTCAACCGATGGCAAGAGACCCTATGGATTGATATCAAGTCCTGGCTTGGCCACCAAATAATCGGTGGCATTGTTTATTAGTACTTGCAATTTCCCGTTGTTTTACTGGGTCAAACTTCTATGAGGATGCCTTGATACCGCCCGGATATTCATTATTTTGTACTCCGCTTGATGGCAAACAACGGAATCCAGAGCACACGCTTCTTCTTATTTTGAACTCGTCAGTTGGATGTACTTGCACCCCAATGAGTGATATTGTTCCTACTGGGAGTCGAATTCAATACCCATCGCTTCAAACGCCGAAGCGTTATCCACTATGTCGCTGGGGTTTGTATTATCTTCCTTTAAAATATATCCCCTTCAGACTGTGGATATCATTTTCATGCAACGAATGTATCAAGGAAATCTAATGAATTTCTGGTGCTAGTGATGGATGATTGCTAGCAGTGATACGCTGAATACATGTCCCACTTCACTAAGTACTCATCAGTTGAATAAAACTATATTCCAGTGATGTTGTTCCCATTGAAGAAAAAGGGTCGAAATTCACTTAGAGAACATTCGTACAGTAGAAAATAAGCCACGCCTATTGTGTGTGGAAGTTAATGATACTACTTGGCTGCCCAAATCTCGATAGGTGGATCGGTGTTCGAATACGTAACTTACTGGTTGAAAGTCAATTCCGTAAGCTAACCAACCACAACTCCACTAAACCAAACACTTACTGCCTCAAGCGTTATCTAGAAACCTACAGATTTATGTGTAAGGCATGCAAGATCGATATTGTGGCTTGTAATTCCCCTTCGTTGATTTTTTCGAGCTGAACTGTTGTCTTAGTGGGAACAGGGAAATAGTTAGATGTGGATACATGCAGCTGACTGGCTTCAAATAGATTAAAACATGCATACTGGATACTACTGCTAAACACCATAAATAATTAATATCAAGATGGATGTATTGATGATGGCGAAGGATCTGCACAGGAATCCATCTGTCTTAAGTGCTCACTAAGTTAAGAGGAATGACATTGTGGTGGACTGTTATTTGGTGCTAAAAACCATGAGTCAGTCTGCAGGAAGCTCCTCTTGCTTTTTGGAAATGTATGTCCCCCTGGAGGATAAATCTGCGTCGCAAACCACACCCAACCAATAAGCTATCGGAATCATAACTGATACCAGATCATGTACACAATTCGTCTTAGGAAGTGGCTGACATTTTTAAAGTGCTCAAATGCTGAAACAGACATTTGACTGGTGCTTCTATATGCTTAGAATAACGTTAAAGGATAAGTTTGATCTTTCATCTCATACAATCATTCTTAAAATAGCAGAATATATTCGTTTTCTGATATTTCTGCGAACCAATAAAATACAAGTTATAGAAGTAAACAGTCCATTGATTGTGAACAATTCAGATGTTTCGGCGTAATCAGTATTTATGCTGGGTGATAACTGAAGGTGAAATAAAAATTCGAACCGCTGCCGGATTCGAACCAGCTACCATCGGGTTACCGGCCCGATGCTCTACCAAGTCACCTACGAGGTCCGACTGCTGACCACAATTTTATTTCACTTCAATCACCAAGGATTTTGCCCGACTACCATGTGAATTCGTGATGCGTTCCTATTGCTTGATCGTATTCACATTGGTTGCCTAATCAGGACTTCTCATCCCAATCCAAATCTAAGTGAATCAGAGAGGGGGAGCATCATACTGATTATCAGTTTGACTATCTGAGATAGCTGTGGTTTGGCAGACTAGTATTTATACTGGGTGATGATTGAGTTTATAGAGCATCGGGCTGGAAACCCGGAGGTCTCTGGTTCGAGTTTTCATTTCACCTTCAATCATCACCCAGTATAAATACTGGTCTGCCAAACCACAGCCATCTCAGATAGTCAAAATGGTATTCAGTATTATGATTTATGTTCCAATCGTATCAATTATTTTTGACCAGTCGGTAATGATGTTATGCTATATAAGCCGAAAAGTGGAAAAAATGAATCTCAGATAACTGATATTAGTTGTATTATTTTATTTATGACTTAATTGCTAACATTATTTTATAGCTCGGTTGAAGAGCTTTCTACTGACTCCTCATCCATATATATATATATATATATATATATATATATATATATATATATATATATATATATATATATATATATATATATATATATATATATATATATATAATATCACTTACAGTTCACAAATGATTGCATGTTGAGTGGAACGCATCATTTCATTTTTTTATACTTGAAATTGGTTGCTTAATTGTTATACATTATGATGCGCTGTGTTCAGGTGATCCAGTTGTATATACTGGTGATCAGAACGCCTGAAAGATGGATACGGACAATAAGCACACGACTTTGTGTCGCGTTAACAGCGTTTGGCAGGGTAGAATTGTGTCATTCATTGTGTGGGTGGATTGAGTGTACGACGTTGGACGAGTATATTCTAAACCAGTTACGTGCAAGGTCAGCACATCAAGGCTGAATCAGTAGGGTTGCGTGCTTGAGACAACTACAACCAGGCATAGTTATTACACTATAGACTGGACAACTCATTTACATTCTTTATAACCTACAGTGTGCTTGTGTGTTATGTGTGTTCGCATACACGCAATGATGCAACTTGCAGAAAATACTGAAAGACATCATCTGAACCTAAAGATCATGAGTATATCTCTTCATTCTTAATTGTCCTAATACTAATCTTTAAAAAATATATTGATTTATACAACAATAATAGTACGCAATACATTGTAGAGATGCTTGTAATGAGCTAATTTGCATGATAACAACTCTATCTTTTGTGAAGAAAAATTTCATGGTAATTAAATTTAAAAAGTCATCCCTACAGTGAAATTGTTCAAAATTTCTAATAAAGAACTACTAGTCTATCATTATACACAGTTTTAAATTTACAATTAAATCAGGTTTTTGCAAAATGCACAATCTGAAGTGAGAAACGCGCGATTGGATGAGATCCAAGAAGAACTTTTTTGAAAAAAGGCTTTAGAGGTCAAAATAGCAGGACTATGGTGTGTAGCATACTGTACAATGTTGATTGAGTGGAGGATAAGAACATTGAGGCTTTATCCTATATACACACCATCGACTGAGAGTACTCTTCAAGCAGATATCAAGATGACCAGCTTAAGTGGTTGGTTAGAACTATGATGAATTGAAAGAGTTGAATCTGTGAACTGGATACATCAACTACCATGAAATCTACCAAAGATGAGCATTGGTTGTTGAGAACACTTCCATCTGCCTAGTGGTGAACACCGCTGCTCGTCTCATGAATGGTCAACAACTACTTGTGTAAGTTAGTAGTACATATCAAACAGCTTGGAAAGTAAAGTTTGGTGATATACAACTGTTAGGGAATTACATAAATTTCTGTAACAGGGATATTTATCCAGCGATAAAGGCTGCCTAAGGCTAAACATAAATGAAAATTCCAGTGTTAATGTATTTTAGTTTAACGTTTAGTCTTCGGTTAAGGCGATAGCAGCTTATTTTTCCACAACCATACGGTGTTCTGTTTATACTAGCCATTTTGCAAACACCAACAACAGAAATCCACAGTCTAAAAAACGAATCGTAGCTTGTTACTTTAAGGAACTGACTTTCAACCAGTGAGTCAAGGGTTCAAACACCGCTCCGGCTACCGAGGTTTGGGCGACAAGATAGTGTACCATTAACCCTCACATACAATAAGCATAAGTGATTGCCTACTGCATGAATGTCCACAAGGTTGCTGGGTGCATTCCAAACAGCCTAAAAAAGACAGCTTCTCGTTCATGCAGGACCAAATATCTATACTGAGCGATGGTTGAAGATGAGAAGAAAATCTGGACTGCGGCCGGATTCGAACCAGCTACCACAGAGGTACCGGCCCGTTGCTCTACCAACTGAGGTACGAGATCCGACTGCTGACCAGAATTTTATTTCGTTTCAGTCATCAAGTGTTTTGCTGGACTGTCATGTGAACTATGGCTATCTCAGATAGTCAAACTGATAATCAGTATGATGCTCCCCCTCTCTGATTCACTTAGATTTGGATTGGGATGAGAAGTCCTGATTAGGCAACCAATGTGAATACGATCAAGCAATAGGAACGCATCACGAATTCACATGGTAGTCGGGCAAAATCCTTGGTGATTGAAGTGAAATAAAATTGTGGTCAGCAGTCGGACCTCGTAGGTGACTTGGTAGAGCATCGGGCCGGTAACCCGATGGTAGCTGGTTCGAATCCGGCAGCGGTTCGAATTTTTATTTCACCTTCAGTTATCACCCAGTATAAATACTAATCTACCAAACTACGGCTATCTCATATAGTCAAATGAGAATCAAATATCGTTATCTAACAGTTCGTCTGATTAGAAATATGGTCAGCTATTGGCAACTTAGACGCTACATCATTCTAAGCAAACGTTTGCATTCAAACATGACCTGTGACTAGCAGTACAGGGATAAATCAAATCCGCTTGTTCATATTAAAAATATCCAGTGTAGGAATGAGACAAGGTCGTCTGTAGACAATATTGTTTCATTGAATGGGAACAAACAAATTGCTCAAAGCAAACCCTAAGCGTAATATATGTTTGCTATAGACAACTCAATTATCCAGTGTTAGACTTTTTTTGAACTTGAAACAGTTAGTTCCTTCGGTAAAATCGCAATTCTTATGAGGCATGAGAGAATCTGATCTAAAAGAAAGAGGATATTTTTCAATAACAAACTGCTCAAATAGAGAACATGTTTTACATTAATTATGGATAGTAGCCAGCAGTGGAGTCCAAGTTGTGCATCTCGTATTATTCGTGACTCATTAGCTGGATGTGCCTGCTTCTCAGTGAGTGATATTGTTCCTACTGAGACTTGAAGCCAGCAGCCATCACTTCAAACTACATAGTGTTATTCACTCGACCACCGAGTCACGATAGCGCAGATCAGTCACATTTTAAACTTGAACTGGTTGGAAACTGGTTTCTACGATGAATGTTATGAGAATGAGATCCAAGTAGTTTTCGCTTCACCCTCCCCTCTATGTTTTACTAGTGGTAGAGAACAAAGCGAAAAAATGACTGAATTTAATGTAACAAATGAAAGAAATCACCTTACTTTAACATTCTTGATTTTAGACATGATATACTACTTTTAATGTTTTTATTACGTATCATAATTGCTAGATGATGTTAGAAGCAGATGGTTGGTGGATATATTTCAAAAGTATTCTAATCATCTTATTTTTATTGTTAATAATAAGTAAAGATGGGGCTAATGATTCATTATAGTTCGTCTGTAGAGTCAAGTGACAACGGAGATAACGGTCTTTCAAAGAAAACACACCTATTCTGAAGTCAGATATCAATATGAAAGTATCTTAAGCTATACAAAAAATCTTGATACTTACGCAATAAATTCCACAACAAAAAGAAGTGAAATCGTGGTCTCAGGAATATTAAATGCACGCGTTATCAGAATGATAGTTATTATACTGGCACTTGGGATTGCAGGCAATGCCATAACGTTGATACCAGATAAAAATCTGAATTGTGTGAAAGAGAGATTGACAAAAAATAGATACAATGACTCCAAGGTAATATCAATAAAGAAACAACTAAGATTCTGATATGGTAGCTTGATGAGAACGTCTATCTTAGGGACAGAGTAGACAGTATTTCTCAATGTTCTGTCCGCTTTACTCCGGCTTATAAACTTAGTTGGGTAGTTGTTCTCAATCAATGCCTCCATCAATAATCACATCTCTTCTTCCAACATTTCGACTGTGCAAATTCGTTTAATTCGATTATATGAACACCTAACGGAACTTCGTTTGTATTGGAACGGACAGAAACTGTAATGGTTTAAATATTTCCCTGTCCAAGTAGGCTTTCTGAGAATAGGTCATTTCAATGATCCACCTTGCCATCGACTGATCAATACATCTAAGAAAGATGAACAGTTATCATTCTCTTCTACACTTGTTAAAGATATGCCATTCTGCACAACGTTCATTCGACTCAGTACTGAAGTAGAACATGATTCGTAACTTTTGATTAAGATATCTAAATATCTGTTATACAAAAACCTGCTCCTTGGGTCCCCGTTTAACAGATGTCGTATATTGTCGTATGTGGAAAAGTTATCTGAGGACCTAAATGAAAATGTTCCATTTTATAACAAATAAAGTCCAGTAAGGTGCTTATAAAATCGAAATGAACGAATTTGCACAGTCGATATGTTGGAAGAAGAGATGTGATTATTGATGGAGGCATTGATTGAGAACAACTACCCAACTAAGTTTATAAGCCGGAGTAAAGCGGACAGAACATTGAGAAATACTGTCTACTCTGTCCCTAAGATAGACGTTCTTATCAAGCTACCATACACTGGTGATGCGAATAGCTTGATAGTTAGACAGAGACTTAACGCTGCAATAAATAAAACTTATTATGCAGTTAAGGTTCGGATAATTGAAAATTCGAAGCCTATATACCCATCAAAGCACTTGGAACAGGTGAAGGATGAACTCAGATCTCACTGTATTTACCAATTTAAATGTACGTGTGGTCACATCATGCATAAGGAGGACTCATCGGTCATTGACAACAAGGGTCATAGAGCAGATTCCAAAGTGGCTTCAGAAACAAATAGAGTCACCTGACCTAATTGGTGTTGGGAACAAACGTCCAAGCTCCTCAATAGCTAAACATATTACTGAAACGGGCACAAAGTGGGTGTACAAACGTCATTTACGCTCATCTGTAGGATGAGTTGCGGACGTTTTTTAAGTTTGTTGAGGCATTAGCCATTAAGATGTTGAAGCCACCTTTATGTGTTCAAGAACAATTTGTTATCACATTAAACCCTCCTTGGTAAATTCGGTTTTGAACCCAAGGTTATTGTACTATTAAATTTGTTGTTGTTGCTGTAGCTTTGTTGATCTTCATTGTTATTTTGACCTTCAATACAGACTTCTCGTTGGACTGATAATTATTTTCCTACCCCTTAAATCTGTACTTTTTTATAAGCCTGTGTGGCCAAATTGTTCGAAGTGTTTGACACAAATGGATGCATATTGACTGACCTAAAGGCGCATAGCGGATAACACCTTGGCGTTTGAAGCAGTGGGTACGAGGTTCAAGTCTCAGTTGGAACAACAGCACTGGGGTGCAGGTATATCCAGCTGACGAGTTTGAAATAGGACGAGACGCGCGTACTGGACTCTTTTGCTAGCCACAACCAACCAAAAAATCTTGTCCATTGATGTAATACTTGGCTATTTCTTTTAATAGTTTAGTTATTTTCTTATTAGAGAAAGGATGGTCTATGTTGTCAATGCTTGTTAATATCCATCTGTTGAGAACAGCATATTCCTAGGAATTTGTCTATAGTTGGCATGATATGGAATTTCTATGCTATCCCAGTTCAAATTATGTTTATCTACATGTAGTAAAGTCAGATTTGAAATGTTTTCTGCTTATCACTCGTACTGAGTGTCCATAAATTCTATGAGCCGAATCGGGCGGAGAAATGGTAGCAGTAGTATTGATAAGTACGAAGAGTTTACTTGTGTTCTGTGATAAATTCGAGTGATACTTTACACTAATGAATTTGTGTTAAGGATGGGGTTTTCTTTTCAATGTACAGACTAACCACATTATTGAAAACCACAAGTTACACCTTGCAAACGACGTTTAACACCATATACATGGACTTAGATCAAATGACTGAAAAGGACTATATAATTATGCAGTAAAAAAAAGCGTTTACCACTACTTACCCCAGTGCAATAAGCTGACCAGCATTCAAAGGTTGTTTAGCTAATTGAGTAACAAAGCAAACTGAGGATGCAATAAATGCTGCAGATCCATTCGCATTGAAACTTGTCAGAAATGGTGCCACAGTACGTACTAAATCTGAGTCTATACCATATCGATCACAAACTCGAAAAAGTTGTGGAAGAGCAATTAATCTAAAAAGCATTAAGTACAATATGAACAATGATGAAAACTCACATAAAACACAGTAAAAGCAGAATATTTATTGTGAATGTAGTAACTTGATTGCTGAGAGATTTGTGAGGGTGGTTGATACTTCCCGGCTGTCCACACCGCGGAATGCTATTTCTTCGCAAGGTACGTGACAGAAGAGCCCAAGAAAAATCTGCTTGAGGTCAGTCACTCATAGCCGTTTTAGAAGTTTGGTAGCTAGTAGTTTGTGCTATGCACGTCCGACTATTAGCCTACATCGCTGACAGCAGTATACCACGTTGTAGAGGGGAGTGTTCTATTTTTAGGGCCGATCTTTTCTACCCGTCCTTCCCATAGGTGAGGCAGTATCAGCATGGCACTGCTGGTCATCCACGGGAAACATTATACTGCCGTAACACCCCAGCCAGCCAGCAGTACGAATTCATCCTCGGACCCCTATCAGAATGTAGCGATTTACACTATAAGGGTAGGTGCTTTTCGTCTGAACATTATCAAACAGACTTTTCTGGTTTGGTAAGACCGCAAGGTAAAAAGCGTTCCAGCCAGTGCAGCTCGTCGAATCACTGTGATGTGCAAACTCCACCATCAGACAAGGGTATCAACTATTGGTCAGGATCGTAATTATGAGGAGTTTGGGACATAACATGTCAGTCGCTTTCTGAGAAATACACATCTTGACCAGTTTTCTTGTTATTTAGCGTAAACTATATATAGGTCTGAGAATGCGTGCAGTATCCAACTTCACCTTTAAATGTATGATAAACTGTACGGCCAAACCTAGTGGGTTGACCGATCGTCTCTATTTAGACAAATTTAAGTGAGTGACAGGGACTGAAACCAAGTACCTATCCTACTAAATACTTGGATACTATCCACTAGGTTGTCAAACTACGATGATCATCCATTGCCCTGATTTTTAATGATATTATTGCAAAGGGAATTCGGCCTTGATAGTGCTTGTTTGTTTGTATACTAAGGAAAAGAAAATTTGTGATGAAACTTCGAAAAAATATCACTTTAAGTTCTGATAAATAAGTTGGATATTTTGAAGACCTTTAAACATAAAACCAAGTGAAATGACATAACTGAATATCTGATTATCAAATGCAACTAAAGCAGAAAAGGCGAATAAGCAACCATTAAAATAAGTTGGTATATGCGACTGTAATCTGTAACTACTACTAAGATGCTGGATTCCCAGTGGATACAGTAGATTTTACAACTGTGACACAGAAGGCAAAATTCAGCTGTATAAACCAAAGGTGTTTAGATTTTGTTTAAATAACTCAGTTTTACGTAAGATGCTCTTGTTCAATACTAACGCGTAGTTTTCATAAACAAGACAATAGAATAAATGTGTGCGCGAAGTGTGTGTGCGGAGATTGGGTGAGAATAAGAAACATTACTGAACAGTATTAAAATTCAGATGATAAACTTACGAACTAGTTGAACTAAATGCAGTTAGCACAGGTTCAGATAGAATACAATAGAAGCGATATAAATTTCGCCTTACAGTGATAAATATAAACAATGGCATAATCACCAACACGATTATAGAATGAAATGTGATTGATGATGCAATGAATAAAACCAAAGCTATCAAATTCTCTTCAATTCGCTCCATTCGGGCAATTGCATAAGCTATCAGACTAATCATCGCGACCGGAAGAAATCTAAACAGAAAGTTGTTACACAAAAAACAACTAAACAGGTATTTGAAATTTAGCATTACATCGAATGAACACTTTTGGGTGACAGTTCAGTTTCATGCTGTTATTCAGGCAGTTAAAAAGATTGTGAGAATATAAGAAATGTTTTCATGTTAGTGATGGATAGCGGGGAGCAGTGGAATTCATAACGAGTGCTTCGTCGCATTTAGGACTAGTCAGCCGAATGCACCTGTCTCCCAGTAAGTGACGTTGCTCTCATTAAGACTTGAGTCCAAGGCCAATCGCCTCAAACGCCAGAGTACTATTCACTAGATGTTTCAGCTTTCAAGAAATAGGGCTAAGTAAGATCCTCATTATGCCAAGTGATTTATCAAGATTCATGTTTGGTATACCTAAAAGGAACAGAACAAGGACAAAGGGGGAGAGATGATGAAGAAGAAACTGGTTGATAATCAGATGGCAAACTCACCGGTGATTGATAGTAAAGACAAAACCGATTCTAGATGAAGTGAAGGATATCGATGTGTTTCTTGCTAATCCAATATGTCTTTCAATTAAGAGTCCATTTGTGTAAAACTACTGAAATCGTTTGTCAGTAATTTCACCTGCTCCTTTTATCAAAGTTTGATATTAAACAGCTTTTTACTAAATGCCCAAAATTATTTTCGATGAAATTATTGTGACTAACGTAGAGATGAAGGAAGTGGAACAAACAGATGGTGATATCACATTTCACAAAAGCTATGTAGGTGACATGTTTATAATTAGTAAAGAAATAAATAGTCTCTCCTAAAGTTCTAAGGTTATTCGACAGCATGCATCCAAACAGCAGTTTTACACCGGAATATGATCCAGTTTGTAAAAAAGGGATGATGAGATAATTTTATGGGTACGCATCACAAAACCATATGAATTGGAGAGTACTCGAACTACAAAAGATCAAGTCTAATGAAACAAAAACAGACTGATTGGTATTCTCTTAGATCCAGCGAGAAATATGCTTCAATAGGAGTCAGTTGGTCAGTCAGTGTCAAAATTACTGCAAGCAGAGGAAATCAGTGTAGAACCTTGCACACAAGTGCATCGGTTCAAGTCGCCACAATTCACAACAGTATACAAAGGTGTATGGGAGGAGAGGAAATTTAAGAATTAAGATCAGTCAAAATATTCAAGCTTTAGAAGATATCAAAGCGTGAAAAAATCTGCGCCATTGTAACCGATTTTCAGCCCTTTCACCAAGAGCTCTCAACCATTGATTCTTATGACCTCGGCAACCCCAGCTAAGTAGTCTTCACCATCCTACACAGCTCAGATAAACGACCAGAGACTTCGTCAACTGGATCCACTTCTTGGATTGACCAACTGCATCTCTCTCTCCCCACTTAATTCAACTCCTAGAAGTACACGTCGAGGTAGGAGGTGGTTCGGAGTGTGGAACGCATGTCCAGGTCACTTCAGTCGTTGAATGTTCATAACCTTACCAACTGACTGCGTAACGCTTCGAGTTACAACACCTAACATCAGCCGATCAAGGTGGAAAACATTTCCACAAAAGTAGTAGAAAGTCATAAGAAGAGAGGATAAAACAAAACGAAATGCGATATGACGATTAGGATGAAGATAATATGTGCATATAACAACGCCACCGAGATCGAATCTGAGTAATGTCGTCTAGAGTCTCAATCACTGATTTCAGGTGTCCTCACCGAACATTTACATATGACAAACTAAAACAAAAAATAGGACATTTTGGAAAGTTTTCTGGAAAATGAATGCCATAAAAAGTTTACCAAGAAGAGCAAATGTATATCAGACGAATGTTATTCCGGTAAAAACCAAAAGAAATACTCATTCATTTAACACTCGGAGCGGATGAAATGCTTAAGAAAATAGGTTGAAGACTGAAGGTCACTAAATTTATTTCCCTTAAAATCACACAAGGTTTATCAAACAAAAGTGGATAAATATCAGTATAACTTAATATCTATCTATCAGTTTAAATGATCTTGAGGATATGGAGAAAAAATTGTTACTCAGGAGGATGATTTTGATAGTGTTGTTTTCTCTAAGCTGGATGGTTTAATCAGGAAGCTTTTATTGTCATTCTAAACAACACCATCAGTTTAAACTTCAGGAAGAAGTGAGGTTTAGGGTTTTTTTTCCACAAGTGGCTTAGTATCTTGTCCCGATGGCCTTGTATGTGATTGGTTGTTTCTGTCAAAGTTTTGTTATTGTCTTCGTATTTATTTCGATTGGCTTTTCTATTTACATGAACTTAAACCTTCTTATTATTTCCTATTGGCTGACAGATTCAATCAATGTCAATATGTCTGTTGGTCGCTGACTAACCTGAAGGCCAGGCTTCTAGAAAAGTTCTCTGGGATTCCTAGTATTTCTTCTACCCAGGATTTCCACGCTCCCCAGCCAAAATCATGTCCACAGTTATCTGTATGCATTGGTATGAGCAAACATATGTCATGACGCTTCACAGTCAACTGATGTTCATATAGAGGGATATGAATAGAGCTACCATTCTGTCTGATGCAGTGTTTTTCACAGTTTCTGCAGTTTATGTTGTAGATAATGTTTAGAATAGCTGTAGCTCACAGGCCTACAAAATCTCTTCACCCTCTGTTTTGCAGGCTCAAAATGCAATACCAAAGGGAGACAAACCAACAGTAGTAGAAAACTCATATTGACAGTTTATTTCTCAATCCATTCACTGGAAAATCATAAAGGCGTAAAGAGGACGAAACGAGCTTTTTTCACAATCCAGCTGATGATGAGCAGTAGAAAACCTGCAAATGTATTCATAGGTTTTCAAAGAATATCCCTAAGGATGAATCGGTTAAAACGTCGATTTGTGAAGTCAGATTCTAAACTTTGTGTGAGACTCTAAAGTTTGGAAATGAAGTGAATAAAAATTATATAACTTTTCATTGTTTTGGGTCAAATTTCCTGGTCGTGATGAAACATTTTCGACACTACTCCTTGGCATGATAACAATATTATGTACCCACTTGATTTATCTTAATTTAGATTTTTCTGTCCTACAACCACTATACATGTGTTTCGTCCTAGTACGGGTCTCCTCAGAGGTGCGTACGCACGATCCTACAAGAGGTCAAACTCACCCACTAGGTTTGGGTCTAATGGTCCACATTTTCCTACTTCTGTCAATTTTCAATATAGCGGCACCATCATCCAATGCCATCGGCTAGAATTTGCCCTTGAACTCGACCTGGTTGACCTCTCAGGTCACGGCTACTCACTAGAACTTTAAGGAATCTATCTCCAAGCAAGTCACAGCACTACACAGTGTCCCAACCAGGAGGTTTGCGGGGATTGATAGATTTCATTGTTCATTATTATTCATTACAGACTAAAACGAAACAGTTGTTCATGTACTACAAGATTTTCAATGGTTCTCCAACTGATGTCAGTCTGTGATGAATATTACCCTGAATCTATCAATTCCCGCAAAACTTCCTATTCGATTTATCGGCTTTCTTCTAAAGTTGGAGTTGGAGTATACATCGACTAGTTTGTAGGTATACACTCGACCGCTACAACTGGAAGTACCCTTTTAAACAAAGCAATATCAGAATTCTTACTTGATAATAACTTCTGTAATTACTGTCATTATTTCAGAAATAGCATCAGCCAATGCAACTAATGGACGAACTTTATCACCTTGAGACCCAGCTACCAGGCCGATGAGCAGACTGGTTGTAAGTATTCCTAAAAACAAAACAATCAGTGGATAGGCACTCGAAAAGTTTAGCACACTAATTAAACAGTAAATAAAAATAGTTGATATTGGATAATGATTGGAGGTGAAATGAGAATCTGGACCATGGAAGGATTCAGACTAGAGACTTCCTAACACGTTTGCGTGGGTTCAACTGGAGATGTTTGATTAGGGTCATATACTACCTCAAGAGAGTTTGACTCAAATTTTCTACTCAGTTCCGGGGGGTCACTGGTTCGAATCCTGCCCCAGGCGAAGACTTTCGTTTGGCCTTCAATCATCAATAAGTAATCAATACAAGTTTGCCAAAATCATAGCTATCTGAGATAGTCAAACTGACAATAAATACAATTGGAATCTAGTAATTAGCTGTCAGCTAGAAGTATCCCATGAAATTTTGATATTATTATTTTAGTGTACTTGTCAAAATAGGTGTACTCCAATTTGTCAATAATTCGTGATTTAATGAGAGTTGAAAACAAGAGCCTCATGAAGATTTCAAGTAAAGAAAAAAACCTCGTACCTTTGAGTAGGTATCGTTTTGAAAATTATTATTCGATGCTAAATGGCTGAACTGTTAGAAGTACAGCCTCCTTATATGGATAGATTGTTTCCTAAGATAACTCCGTGTTGGTTACTTTTATTTGGTGAAGCGCACAATGGCACATTATTTGTTATTATAACGCTTTAAACATAGTTTATCGACTATATATCTAGGTAAATAAATTTGAAAGTTGTGTGATAACCCTGACATGATGAATTATAATAAATCGCATCTAGAATATTATCCAGTAAACAATAAGCTCACACATAAACAAGAAATGACTCCGTATAGATAATAATAATAATGACTTTGTTCTGAATGATATTTCTGAAATACTGTACAGAATTTTCAGAATGTCATATACTACCGAGTGGACAGAAACAGTGTATATATGCATACTAAAATGGAATAATTATTAGCTACACATAAAAAAATAAGGATTTTACGTTTTCCATCTACAACGTTCTTCTAAATGCAGAGTTAATGTAGATAAACAATCACATTAGGAATTAGATTCATAATACACAAATAAAGTTGTGTATTCTTTGAATAGTTTGCTTTCAAAAACAAAAGTTGATTAGTTAGTTCATTTCTAATAATTTCCTCATACAGAATACGAGCTAAATACGATATCGTACAGTTTTTATATATTTAGTAGTACGTGCATAAAGGCTTATATACTTTCTCGTCTGACGACTCGGACGCAGAAAGCTTTCAGTGAAAAGGATGCTGGCTATATTGAAAAAATAACTTATGCCAGCTACTTACATGAATTCAGGTGTTTGTCGATAATAGTTTTAATTTGAAGGTTTAGAGGTATACCACTAATTCTGAGGACAATCTTCAACGTGAATTTGAGGGTTTGTGGAGATTTAGTGATTTTTTCAAGTTGGCATTCATCGTGGGCTGAGACCAGGTGGAGAAACATTGGGAACCTGGAGGCAATGGACAGCAGTTTCACCCTAGTATGGGACTCCTCAGCAGTACGCACCCATGACCCCGCCAGGGATCGAACCCAGGGCCGTGAGGACAAATACTCGACGATGGCATTGGGTGGCGGTCACGCTATGTCGTGAACTGACAGAAGTTGGGAATATGGACTGCTGAATTCCAACCCATTGGCTCAATGGTAACGTGTTGGCCATAAAACCTGAAGGCCCCGGGTTCGACCCCTGTGTTATAATCCACGGTATAGATAACGATACAATGCTCCGACGTGATACGATTGACGCTAGAATAATGACTTCTCAAATAGATATTCAGTTGACACCAGAAGAAGACGATGGGATTGAAAGTATATTTACTCCAATCAAATAACAATCGGTAAAAACTCAGTCATTTATATATCCTTAGATGGCCTTGGCCAGGGAAAACAAAATAGCAGATTAAAAGTGCAAAACGGACCAATCAGCGTTCAGTATCCTAAAATGCGGTAAAAATAATTGACATAGCACGGGCACGAAAATAAGATTTAAATTTTACAATGATAATATAAACATAAGTAAGTTTTCTTAGGGATTAGGCATCCCTAACATCCTGGCGGGGTGCGGTTGTGAGTGGGCACTGCTGAGGAGTCCCACACTAAGATGAAACAGCTGTCCAGGGTCCCCAGATTTTCAGCGTTCCTCCAACTGATACCAGTCCATGATGAATACCAACTTGAAAAATCTTCAAAGTTCTCAGCAACACAGTATGGTCTTTTTTCATCAAGCCAGGAAAGAATAAAGAGGAACAATACACGAAAATAAGCAAGATACAGGAGTTTATAAAACACGAGAGAAGAGGCTGAGTTATACAAGATACTCTCATTTACCTAATGTAGTAAGTTAGGCGGAAAATTCGTTCGAAAATTAGTAAGATATGGGGGGACCGAGAAACCTTCGGAGATAAAACGCAAGCTGAGATAAATCACACTTGTAACATTTTCTAACACAACCACCAACAGAACAGGAAGCGTAAGGACTAAGCAGTTTACATGGGTTACGTCCACGTTTGAAACTAAACTTTATAGTCTGACATTCTGAAGAATTAAGCGCAAGACTATTCACGGAGGACCATCTTCTAACAGCAGATAGGAAATCATCCAGTTGGGAAAAAATCTGTTGAGGAGGAGATAGGTATGGAAACTGTCAGGCCATCAGCACATTTGATGAAATTGATACCAGTTGAGGATGGTAAGTCATACAGAAAGAAGGAGAAAAGACGAGAGAAAACGGACAGCATCTTGGGGACATCAGCCTCAGTAAGCAATGAGGTGGAGCGCTTCCCTCTGTGGATAGTATTTGCGTATTCGCTCAAGTTTACACATATCATGCGTCACGTAGAGTGAAGGTCAAGAAAAAGGAAGGGAACCAGAAAGAAGATACAGTGAATAAATACATACACTTCAAATAAATGTAAAACATAAATGGATCTTTAGTGTCGAGATTTCATTTGAGCTACAGTACTTAATATATCAAATCGTCCACTTCAACGGTTTCATAGTACCAACCAGGGAACCTAAAGGACTCAGAAAATTTAGAAAGATTAGAAACTGGTAATATACGTTGGCCTGATTGCCCTTAAACCATTTTTAGTCCCAATTTTGGTAGAAACAGCTCCTGGTTCAGTAAGTACACCACATATTCTCAACCACTTTGTTGACGAGGAATAAGAAGCTCACTAGCTAACTAACTTTTACGCAGAAAACTGAGCCGCTCTTCTGCACTGCTTCATATGCAGCCAACAGCATTAGGGAAGGAAGTCAAGTCAGTCGGTGAGGTTGTAAACCTTCATAACCTTTGCAACGTGTTACTTAGGCTGGAATGAATAGTTGTTTCAAGAAGTTGTCGAATTAAATAGCAAACTAATCCAGAGTTACGGAGAGTCGTAGGACAGAAAGAAGTGAGGGAGGAGGTTAAGGCAAATAACAAAATGTGGTGTAACAGTTAGCGTTAAGGTGTGTAAGTATCTGTGCCACTGCGATCAGTTTTAGGCCATGTCACTTAGAGTCTCCAACAACCGATTTCGGATGTTATGCTAGATCCAAAATAGAAGCTTATACTTATCCCATACAACTCTAACCAACAATTAGAGACTTCATGAAGTGATATCATGTTTTGGTTACGCAAATCTTAGCTTTTTTCCGACCTAACCTTACTTCAACTTATACTAAGTAACTAGGCATGCGTGAAACGCACAGCCGATGGTTTACAATCTCACCAACTGGTTTGACATTTCACATCACTTATATGGTGGTCTCAGGTACCTGTCGATTGGGAGAAGGCCTACATTGTCAAAATCCCAAAGAAGGGAGACATAAGTCTTTGCAAAAACTGGTACCGAATCATCCTGCACTCCTGTCCAGCCCAAGCAAAATATTAAGCCGCATCATCCTGGAGAGACTAAACAATGCATTGTATTCAAAATTACGACCGGGACAGGCTGGCTGGCTTCAGGAAAAACAAATCATGTGCGGATCGAATTGCAACGCTACGCATAATCATAGAACAGAGTATAGAATGGTAGTCAACTCTCTACCTCAACTTCATCGACTTTGAAAAGGCCTTCGACAGGGTCGACCGAAAAGTAATTCGACAGCTGTTTCAACACTGCGGAGTACCACAAACCTTTATCGACCTCATTCAACACCTATATGACGACGCCACATGCCAAGTGATCCATAATGGAAACCTCAACGATGCCTTTGAAGTGAAGACAAGACTGCCCACTATCACCGATGATCTTCTTGACTGTAGTCGACTGGACCATGCAACAAATTGTGAGCAGCTATGAGAAGATGGGCATACGCTGTCTGACACATGAAAAGATGCTAGAGGATTTTGATTTTGCCGATCATAGTTTATGTCTAATGTGGCACAAACTCGAAGATCTACAGGTGAAAACTAGCAAGCTGACAGAAGATGCAAGGCAGCGAAGACGGAACTTCAGATGTACGTAGAGAACACAGAGGTGATTAAAATGCCCAATCAACACCGACAAACGCCAATCACCATCAACGGGAGGAATGTAAACGAGGTTGTCTCTTTTATTTACCTAGGCAGCATTGTTTCAACCACAGGTGGCGGCACAGATTGGGATGTCAAAGCCAGGATCGGAAAAGCAAGATAGGCCTTCATTAATCTGAAATCAGTGTGGAGATATACTGCAATGCACTCAGCATAAAGAACAAGACGCGAATTTTCAGCATTGCTGTCAAGTCACTGCTTCTATGTGATGATTGAGAGACTAGGCGCGTTACAAAAAGCATTTCGAACAAACTGCAGACAAACATTAACAGCTGCCCACCCTCGCTCGATACTAAAGACCAGATGGCCAGAGAATAAGAATAAGCAGCAAGGAACTCTGGCCTGGCAACGAACCAACCAAGAACCCATCACCCAACCAATGTACATGAGAAAGTAGAGATGGATTGGATTGGAGATAGACTAAAAGACCGATTGGGGACATCACGCTCCAGGCCCTCAAGTGGAACCCAAATGGGATACGACAAATTGGGCGTCCGAGGGTGACATGGAGGAGATAGTGTGAGGAAGAAATGAGTGCTTGTGGGCAGTCGTGGAGCCAGGTTTAAACGACTGCAGAGAACAGAGTGAAGTGGCAACGTGCTACTGAAGCCCTATGTTCCCCTAGGAACCCAAGGGACAAATAATAATAATAATAGTAACTGTGTCAAATGATTTGAAGGTGAAGATATTTATTCATGAATTTCTTTCTTTAACTCAGAGAGAAGAAACATTAGATAGTGAGGAAAATGAAACTATCGGCCTGGTGACACTGAATTCGCAACATTTAGACATATTTTGAGGTTAGCGGGGACTTCATTTTTAAGGGCAGTATTCATCAGAGGATTGATATCAGTTGGAGAAACCATTGAAAACCTGGGAGAACTGGACAGACATTTCGTCCAAGTATGGGACTTATCAGCAGATATTAGTTAATATTTTTAAAAGAGAGAAACAGAAACAGTGTATGAAAACATTTTAAACAGATTAATTTTACACAGTCTTATTTTTATGTAGGCTTAAAAATATTTATGGTGTGAAGAGATACAAGTAGTCTCACCTAGAATGTTCGTTTGTGGTGTAGATTCAACTATTCGTTCATATTTGATCATTGATGACTTATTCATTGAATGAGGTGAAGAAGCATTGTCTGATTCAACTGACTTATAGTTTGTTATCGTCTTTAACGGAAAAAAAGAAAAGAAAAAACAAAGGAAGACATAAAACGTGCATTTTTCGCTAACTTGCACAGATTTGAACTACTACTAGATAACTAAAGAAAAATTAATATTCAAAGTAACATAGATGTCTGTGTAGCTGAAACTCGAACAACCAGGGGACTGGCTGGCTGACAGAATTATCATGTTTGCTTAGATTCCGTCTACTCTGAAGTACGATGTTCGCCGAAGTAGGTTCAGTCAGATTGGATAAAGGTGGCTTGACTGAAACATGGGACCAGCTCATAAAGTCTTTGACTCTTGGTTTAAGCTGTGCGAAGAAATGTAGATATTAAGGTTAGTATTCAAATGACAACCAAATTTGGTGGTTGGAAATTCTAAGTGATATGGCTCAGAATCAATTTCACTGACACAAACACCTCCACATTCCATCTTCATCATAATAATCATATCATGAATTCGCATAACTTTTAGTTACATTTTTATTTCTACTTCTCTATCCTTCATTTTACTGACTTGTATATTGAGATGCTGATGCATGGCGTAGCAATTTGGATCGCGCAATGTTAGCTGAAGTAGGCTCAGGCTGGGAAAAGGCTAAGAGCAGCCAGACTAAAGCATGGCATCACTTCATGAAGTTCTTGACTATTGGTTTGAACCAGATACGGAGATGCAGACTAGGCGGTTAAAGTTCACCTGACAAAACAAAACAGTGGTTAGACTCCTTATCTTAATCTTAACCGCTATGATGAGTTAAGTATTTCCTCACTGCTCCTTTTTCTCTTTTGCTACTTTCTACTGATTTTTTTCTTTCATCATAGTGTTTTTTACTTGATATGCTGATAAGAGGTTTCGTAACCTGGACCATTACGCGTTAATGCCTGATTCTATGCCGATACTGATGAACTTGGATCATCGGTCAGTATTTCCAGGTCACGTAATGATACTGGCCAACTAATTGAAGCTTCAGATTACTGTTTGACTTAGTGAACCGTTGTCCTAACAGAACAGAATGAATGCATAGTCATCAAATGTCGATTTGTGTCACTCAAGGAATAATTCTTTAGTAGATCAGATTATCTGACATAGTACACAGTTAAGCAGTATTATTTGCTGGATTTAAATGACTCCACAATACCCAATTTGTGCTGTTACATCAGTCAAGATATTTAACAAAGTATGAACCTAACGAATGGCCTCACCAACCAATTACTAATCAGTACCTCAAGACTGTTAGTCATATGCTTTGAAAACATCCAGTTTTTATCTTCTCAATCCAAAACGGTCTAACGAAATCGAAGTGCACTTAGCATCCTTGAGCACGTTCGCACATGAGGTAATAGACCTATCGTATAAGGGCTGATAATACAACTTAGGTACCAAGATTTCAGTAGATGAAGCGGTGACCGAACCGGTAGCCCGTTGCTTCAAAGTCGACTCCCTAAACTAATGAGCCATAGGTATCCCATTATTCTGTACAGACTTCATTTCGATATTCTTCAAACTTTGTTGTTACGTGCTGAGTAGCACATATAAAAGCTTGTGCATAAGATATTGCCATGCTTCAGCTGGTATCTGTTAGAAGGACAGTGGAGAACGAACACAGAACCTTTAAAACTACAAGACATGTTAAGGCTCACCATATATTTAAATGAATGTAATTTTCCGTCAACGACGTACAATTTAAAAAAATGTCATTTCCTATCATTCAAGTTCTTCAAAACTTATCATGAGCATCATATCCTTTTATCTAACTCACAGAAGTAACTTTTTAATCTCGATGTTTACTACAAAAGTAGCTCGATTCGCAGTTCATTGGGGCTTTACAGGATTGATAGTAAACCAGCTTTAACAATTTCGCATAGAAACTCTTAAAAACGTGTACTTAGACTTGCTGAATCACCAGTCATTCTCAAATTTAAGCTTCCTCGTGTATTTTCAAAAAACAATTTCCCCTTACGTTAAACTTATCCTGGTAATATTTATCTTATTCTATTACGAAGGTCGGTTTTGAAACTTCCTCATACTCCTCTACTACGTCGACGATATTTACACTCCTTGTTGTCATGTTTTTTGTCTTATTCAAACTTCCTCCATTCCCAGTATTCATATAAAATGCCATGACAAGTGGAAGTGTGATCAAATTCTTCGAAATGTATGATGCAAATACATTCCATTTCTTCGGGTTTACTACATCTTATACATAAGCTATCCGAACTCACAAAACGGACTGACTGTCTCAATGTAATTTGTTTATTGGTAGCACTCAGTTAAATCTAGGACACATGTTTTGTCCCATTTAAGCTTCGTCAGCTGAAAATTACAAGTGCCAATAAATAATAGTAACTGTTTTAAGTTTATAATTTAGTTGTAAACTAAGTGACCGAAAAATTCTGTTAGAGAGAGTGAGCAGTTTGTTTTGATCAAGGTTCTAGCATTCACTGTGATAACTAATGATAGCATAAATTTGCTTTAAAATCACTAGATTACTTATCACAGATAATTTATGAAGTAGGAATAACACCTATCTCTAAATAGGAATAGAATTTTCAAATGTCAGTTTTTTTAAATAAGATGAATAATTTAAATGTACGAAGATTGAAATCATATGATCTATGCGTGAATAGTGCAGATAGCTAGCTTAATTTCTGCCACTAAAAGAATTCAGTATACACTATTAATTTATTCATTCATTTAATCCAATGCAAAAACATTTAAAATCGGGCCTTCTCAAAATGTAAACTCCCTAGGTCGAAATTCATTGGAGAGATAAGTGTTTTTAAAATTAGGCATTTATTAACAACTTTTGTTGTGCTTCATAGGTCGTATGATCTATCACGGATCAGATCGTTTGTTTGCTTTTCCTTTGCATAATTTAATGGAAGTTTCATGGAGATTCGGTTGAGAAATCACTAGTCGAATAACCATTTCCAACGAAATCCTACGAGATTGATTTGTAAAGATGTATATTATGTGTAAGAATATGGAGGCAATTCAGCAGAGAATAACTCAAATCTACAGGATGATTAACCTCTGAACAAGGGTCAAAATAAAACAGCTTAATAGCAATATCTGTGCAGTTTGAGATTTAGAGGAATATTACTTGTAAGGAAGTATTCATGGTGGATAGCGAATACTAAGAGATATAATGAAAATCAATAAAGATCGAGAGCAGTTATATCCTAGTATGGGACACATCTGTGGTACACACAAACGACCTTGCGACGCGGTGAAATTACCATCTTCATATCACGTGGCAAACGCATTAACTATTCACTTACAGATGTCAGCCCACAACGAACTCAATCTCAAAATTCATCACTTTACAGTGCTCATTAGTGAAGTACTCTAAGATGCATATCCCACATTTCAAAAGAGAATCTCTCACCTGAAGGGTCAACCAGATAGAAGTGAAGCGGATGCCAAATTAAAATGAATTGTGGTAAAAGTCATCTCCAGATTTTATCTAATCCCAATCGCTTCAGAAATTTCATGCACTCAATTCCTTTCACAAATCATTGTCAAATGAGAACAAGAAGATCTTAACAGTACAATGAATATGTAGCATTTCGTTTCCTACTTCGTAAATAATTACGGACTATAAAAATACAAGATCTATCCAGTTCATATTCCTTGACGACCGACAGGAAGACAGTAACATTGGTGAATAAATAACTGTAAAAATGATACAGATTGATAAAGTCAAAAGGAAATGAACTGTTGACGAAAATCAAGGTTATCCGGCATTTATGTAGTCAGATTTTTATTTTGTTATATTCCAAGAGGCCAGACAATGGCGTAGGAAATATTGCCTAAGTGTATGTGTTAGGTGAATGTTGTGAAGATAGGATATGAGGTTTGTTGCGTAGTGATATAGTAAATGGTACAAATTGTTGTAGGGACTTTAATCATATCAGTCCCAGAGTAAGCTCTCGCATGAACTTCTAAATGATTATAATGTCGAGATGTATCCTAATACTTCCCAGTTTATACAATCTTATACCTATTTCCACATATTACGTTCCAATAGAACATTATCAACCGAAAACCAATAACATTTTTCACTTAATTAGAATATAGGTGGATAGAACTGTTTTGAATCTTGATCTTCGATAATCCGAATTTAAGTGTTTGAACAAATGAATCATATTTCCGCTAACTGAGCAGAGGCAAACATAGTAGTATGATGTTACTCAAATATTTTGATAGATACTTTTTACTTAACCAATGATGTACCCTCGTTGAAATGAATTTTAGCAGTTTTTGTTTGTATGACCGACTGGTTAAAACGAAAGCTTTTGAAGGCCAGCCTATCGAACACTAAAATAACCAATTAAATTTTTATATTTTGTAAGAAAACTGCCTTTCAGTCAAAATATAGAAATCTGATTTGATATTTCAGTGGTTGTCAAGGTGGCGTTTAGAGCTACACTTTAAAATAATGATTTAACAACTTTTCGTATTTCATGTCCTGTTCTTCACTTGTCACCGTTATACATCGATTTCATATTTACTGGTCTGGATAGATTGGAATAAAAATTTTACTCATGTATGTGCCTAACCAAATTTGGTAGAACTAAACTTTAGTGACAGGAAATGTTGATGACAACCAATGAGGTTATAGAAGCTTTATTCCAGGTCACTGGTTACGTCCGTTTACCCTGTCGTTTACACTGCATATACGTTTGGTAAATTATGACGAAAATTACTTTGCCGCTTAGATATGAAATTTGGAAGAGTAGGTAATTTGTTTAAAATAGACAAGTGTCTTTTTCAGAGACGTAAATATAACCGAGGAAGGCGACTTAAACAGGATTAGGTAATTTACATACATATGTCTTGGGAAAACCATAGACTCTTGGTTTATACCGCCTAAATAAGAAGAAAGACATTTACAATGGATAAAGGATAGATAAGAAAAATCTATCTGAGGAGTTATAGAAAAATACGTGACATTGGGTATCAGAATATGCATAGATGTTTGCAAGTCGTACGTATGTCTGTCAAAAGTGGGTTATCGTATCAACCTATTTTTCAAAAGAACCACTTCGTTGATCGGACAGTTGGTAGTGTACCCAATCAACGCTTAAAATAAGTGGAGTCATCTTGGAATATTCCTAAGACCTTTAATAGGATCATGATATAGTGTCATATGGATGAGTGGCGAAATAGACAATGGTATGGTTTCAAAGACAACAAACCTATTGAAAAGCTAGATATCTTGGTTTCTTATGTAGAACAAATTCATAAATCGTAAATAAAGTAGTATTTTTCCTAATAATTACATTGTCCTTCATAATGTGACTCTGATTGGTTGCTGCATACTTGAAAGTGATTGGCTGTCAATAAAGTATAATCCCAGCTCAAATTTCAATGCACTCATATATTCAGCCCTATATATTCGTAGTTAAATCATAAAGTAAATACCTTTATGATAAGTTACCAATATATTTTATTTGAGGAAGTGAAGAAATATCAAACTATGTGGAGGAATAGTCGAATTTCAAGGCAGTCTCCAGAAAGGGTTTTCTTTAAATTGTCATGGAAAACGGTGACTTGTAGAATTAATGAAGTCGAGTGAGCTGTACTGTAAACATAATTATGATTTGGAATATTGGCGTAATTGGAATTATTGGTGTAAGAATAGATAACGGTTGATGATATTCAGTGATATTCACACTGTACCACAAGTCAAGAGCATTTGGAGAATGTAAATTATTAATTTTCCATTCGAGGACTAGACCATACCTTACTTGCTACGAGACTGATGGTTATCGGCTTGATCCCATATATGGGATCATTAGTATGTACTTCTGAGGATTTTTAAACTGTACTGACAGATACATGTCTTCAGTACTCTCTGGTTTGTCTAGTTTATACAAGTTTGTGATGAATACTGCCTCGAAATCTTTCTTGATATACCTATCAAAAGTGTGACTGTACAGCATCTGGATAAAACTCTAGGTAACCTTTGTATAGAGTGCATTATAATATAGACATTATTTACACACATTCTCCTAATCTAGATCGGAATAAAACTATACAAAAGGTTACAACCATTCTCTTTCTTGATTTTTATTGAATATGACAGTCTGTCCAACACACAGTCAAACACTAGTAAAAGATATAGGCATTGTTAGAAATTATATCACTTAGAAAATCTGTATTCAGAACTTACGGAAAACAGGAACATTTTGACAATATTGTCTGGGACCATATTTCTGAAATAATCAAATACGGATATGAATAAAACCAGTAATGAATTTAATTTGAGTTTACAAGAGAATCGGCAAGCGCTAGACGTGCATGTAAATATATATAACTCATAAATAGGACATTGTTTAGCTTAAATAATCTAGAAAAGTTTGTTCAATGGTTAAACTGATGGTCTGATGTCATTTACAACAGTTGAAATACTGTACAACACTTAGTGAGAGACTTTATAATCTTGCAGTCAAGCACTGGGTGTACATTCAGTGTTCAGCAACTCAAAAGTATATTAAGATGACAAGTGGAAAATCAGTAGAAAGGTATAGACATAATACATTTCCTGCTGACTACCTCCAACCAAATAATACTCGTCAAAATGTATCAAGATGATGAACTTTATAGCTTGGCGACCCCATTGCCCAATCTTGGGACATTAATTCTCTTATGGTTGCAAGTAAGACTTTCTGACAGTTGTCAAGATGCCCCGAAGCCTTGGTCTAAGACTTTGTGACAGTTAACTGCAACCATTTAACATGCATTAAAAGTGTACCGTTATGGTTAGCCTCCTAGCTGGACAGCCACACTAGAAAATAAGCAATAGAATTCGATCAATAGGACTAGACAACAGGAGATTGGTTGCTGTCAAGTGACCAATCAATGTACACTACCATCCAATAAGTTCAATACATGAGTAAAGTCTTCCGTTCTGATATTTATACTACTAACTAACTACTGATTTATAGTATCTAAAAATTAACCATCCTGAAACTCTTATCCTTACTTCAGCTTATTGAATAGCTTAAAAAATGTAATGATTTTCTAACAAAATGGTCATTTGACGAAATATCATACTTATACACAAAATATGAAAATATAAGTAGATATTGGACTTATTTTAATGTGTATACGAGTATTGGAGCGATGGAAACTGAAAACTACTAACAAGCCAGTCAAGATATGAATACTAAGCTTCATTTTTAATGATTGATTCAGTTTAACTTTTTATGTTAGTAGTGAAAGAGGATAATGCCCATTGTAAAACTACTCTATATCGACAACTGTTATATTGGCATTCTCGAACTGGTAATGGACAAAATTATCGATTATATGCTTTACAGTTTCATATATTTAGTACTTTTAAACTAAGGGTGTGATCTAGAACCTTATAAACTTGACTTGATATCAGGGGGTCATAGTTTTAATCGTCGATTTACTCAGTGTAATCTAGGCAGCCAGGTGAGAATCATTGGGCCTAGTTCTACAGGTGTAGTTCACAAGCCAGCTGATGAACTCGTACATAGTAAGTGGAACTGTTCACTACCTTGAAGATGAAATTGATTATGTTCTAATACTGAATGGATATTAAGCAAAAGTCAATTCATCAACAGTGTTATAGAGATGTTGAGAAAAGTGACCTAAGAAATATGTACAGATTCGTGTACTAGGAAATGAGTCACACCTATTGTGTGAAGATTAATCTACTACCTGGTTTCTCAAATCTTGGTACGTAAAGCACAGCTTGAACCAGTAATCCAATGGTTGAGTTAGATTTATCATTAAACTAACCGTACCTTCATTGTGTTGCAGCTCACTGGTTTAGGAAGTTGACTTTCTCCCAGTGGGTTGCAGGTTCGAGCACAGCTTCACCTGCCGAGGTTTGGGCAGCCAGGTAGTATCGTTAGTTCTTATACAATAGGTGTGGCTCATTACCTACGACACGAATGTTCACAAGGTTTTCTATTCTCCTCGGTCATAATAATTAGGAATTAATTGATCCCATTCAGTATATCTTTTTATCACTCATGCATTATAATTTTCATGCTTTTATAACTGAAAAGTACCAGTTTTTCGCTGACCAAACTTATTTACCTTGTCTTACTAATACTATTCAAAGCAGCCATGTATTCCGATGACTGAGCACTAATTACTTGATAACCAACTAAATTTATTTGATTGTTATTGCTACTTTATCTATTACGCAACAATAACTCCACTCCGTAATAATTTGAAGTAGACTTGTTTGGTAAAATCACTGCATGTATATGCAGTGGGTCGAGATTTCTTATAATATAATGAAAGGATTGGCCAGGTGAAACATAAACGGAAATATGATAGCTTTTTGTTGCGTCTGTGAAAAGTATTGCTAGAACAACGTTATTACGTTTTCTGTATTCACTTTTCTATTATACTTGTACTTATACTCAAGTAGAGCAATCAAATGGTGAAATACAGTAGTCGAAACTTCCTCAGTGCAATTAGTACTCTTCTTAAAGCTTATGTTCCGTTGCTTCAGAGCAGAAGTGATGCACTTACAACACATGTAATCATGATAATATACAATTAGCTCCTCATATATGTCCTCAGGTAAATTATGAGCATGTTGGGACAACAGGACTGATATTCACTCGCATTATCATATAATGCCTACACAATTTCCATTATTATCAAAAACTTAAGAACTAATACACATAACTTTTCTTATTTACTCCAAGTATTTCGAATTTCATCCCAATAAATTTTTAAAAAAATCAATAACTGAGCGCATACTTAATAATACAAGTACGTCGATACGTACCCCAGTGTAATAAACATAATGAAAATCTGAGTGTTATTTTGTAACTTATCTGAATTTGTATGATTTTAAACATCACTGTCTTGATTATGAAATCTACTATGTAGTTGGAGAAAATGAGTGATAGAAAATGGCGTCTTTTTGAATTGTAGGTCTTAACTCAAAGGTTTTTTGACTTTTTGTCTTTGACATAAAATCTCACTCTAGTAGGTGGTGGTTAGTAGTATAATTTCGAATGCAGGTTTCGTACTATTTGAGATTCGTCAGCAGTATGTACCTGCACCCCAGTGAGTGATGTTATCCCCACTGGGGCTTGAACTCAGTCCCCATCGCTTCAAACACCAGAGCGTTATCGACTAGGCCATTGAGACACAAGGGCCATCTCTTGTGCAACGGGCATCAGTTATTGTTTATTGATGTTTGTAACTTCCTGTTGATAGAATGGTTCAAATTGCTAGACTATGCAACCTTAAGGGTACTGCCCGGATATTCATCATATTGTAACTCCCGTTTCCCATTGGATAACGCTTTGGCGTTTGGAGCGATGGGTACTGGGTTCGAGACTGGCTGGAAACGACACTTACTGGGGTGTAGGTACACCCAGCTGACGAGTCCTAAATAGGAAGAGACGCGTGTCCTAGGTTCCACTGTTAGCCACCAAGTAGACTACAATAAAATGAGTATTCGGGCAGTATCATGGAATCCACATAGAAGCCCATCTGCCAACAGGCGTTAAGCAACTAGACCCAATATAGCAATGGAAATTACAAGTATGAAAACAATTGATACCCATTTCACAAGAGGTGGCTATCGTGTCCCGATGGATAACGCTTTGGTGTTTGAAGTGATGGGTAGGAGGTTCGAGTCTGAGTGGGAATATCCCTCACTGGGGTACAGATACATCCAGCTGATGAGTCCCAAGTAGGACTAGACACGCGTCCTGGATCCCATCGCTACTCACCAAGATAAACACAACATCATAAATATCCGGCAGTATCACGACATTCGCATAGAAGCCTATTTGCCGACAGAGGTTAAATTACTAGTATCAATAAGCAAAGCTTCGATATATCCGAAAATTCCAAAGCCTATATATCCATTCTTTGCTGAAGTTTATCAATATCCTTCACACAAGCCTTCAGAAATGCTACTCAATATCAAACAACAAAACTTAAGGCATATCGAAATAATTTAAAGGTCCCCCAATAGGTTTCTCAGAACAACAATAATTTGGGTGAACAAGTATTTTGAATAGCTTCTTCTTCAGGCTCTACAGTTACAAAACCATGAGAATAAGTGGAAAACAATAGCTAAAATAAGGTATGATGTACAATTATTACTATACTGAATCCTATATTGAGAATCCTACGTAAAGTTTCTTATTTTCTTTCCCTATATGGTAATACAATAGAGGCTTTGAACTCGAGTAGAAATAAGTTCAAAGCCTCTAATGTGTTACTCTGTAAGGAAGGTAGATAAGAAAGTTTACGTAGGATTCTCAACAATGCTGGAATAAGGGCGGCTAATAAACCTACAAACTTACTCCGAGATAAGCTTTCTTGGCTGACTTAAGGGTACGATAGATCCAATTAAAGAAATAATCTAATCTACAAAACTCCATGTAATGACTGTGAAGTCAAGTACATAGGCCAAAACTAGCCGGTCGAGGTCAGTTGGATTAGTGAAACACAGGAATTCAACTAGACACAAAATGACAAGCCTAAATAAGATCAATAATCGAGAAAAACAGACGGCTATTGTAATGCATGCATTAACACATAACAACAAATAGGGTGAGATAAAGCCACTGTACTTAAATCCAGTATGATTAGGTGGAGAGAGATTGATTACTGAATATATGTTCATCGAATCTACACTCAACATATGTAAAAGGGATGGCGCAACACCTATATCAGAGATGTGGGAAACTTTTCTACCAATAGAAACAAAGAATATCAGGTGATAGGATAATAAAAGACAGATATCGAAAGGAGTGTGATCACATTGATATGATTATGAGCAATAGTTTATGCTCGAAACGTCATGGAGTAAATAACACTGTATTACTGTGGGTTATATATCAAGTAAACAAATCTAATATGGAATTACACTCTACTACAGTCTTACCCCTATATTAATAGTTGTAGGATATCCGTAATCCATGTAAGCTAGGTCTCCCTGATATGGAGCGGGTATGTTGATGCTAAAGCACTCAACACTATGTTCTATAAACAATTGCGGTTGCACTATAATGACTCGGATTACACGCTAATCCTAACTTGGCGGTGGAAATTTATAACTGTAGTACCCATAAGAACTCACATAACTATCAAAATACACCAATCTTTCAAATATTGCCAACAATTCATCACGATGGGAAAGTATAGGCAGGGGTTCCTAAAATAGAAATGTTTCTCCAGGCAACACAGCTGCACCATCACTATGGATTTATCTTAAATTTATCTCTATTTTCATTGGATAATTTTGCCTAATTCCGATGATGATATGGAAAAACTGGGTTTATTGTACATCCTCGCTTTATCAGTGTATTTATGCATGGCCTTCAGCACCCATGTCAACAAACGTTTTAGAGGTACCAGTTTGACAAAAGCCTTCAGAGTGCAGTCCTGACCAAGGAACCGAATGCAACCTTAATGCCAAGAGATACGACTATTCGGTCAGCAATACGTGCAACTATTCCCTACCGGTCAGTTAACATAAAAATGGAACCTTGGCATTCCTGCTCGCTGGTCCAATTTGTCAAAACTTACAGCAGATCAAGATACGAGGCAACACAGCGAAATATGAGGAAATGGCAGTGATAACAATAAAAGCTAGAAAGCCATAAAACTGAAAGAAGTGAGGTCAAAGGAATTAAGGAAAAGAAATACAACCGTTAAAATGAATAAACAGTATGGATGTATCTGTAATATACTTCTGCGCTTTATCACCAGAATGTATAACCATGGGCTTCTGTGGTTATGCGAACGCCGACCTAAACTGATGCCACAGAATTTCTGACTATTGGTTTGAGCCATATGGCGACGGTCCAAGTTTAGAACAGAAGGAAATGATAGTCAACTAATACAAGAGGCACACTCTTTGTCTCACAAGCAAGTCTTCATGCGTTTTCCATAACCCGCAAAGTATCTTGCATGGGACCTGTAGAAGACTAGTTTGCGAAAGAAATTTGTGTGTGATTTCCAAATATAGTTCATAAAATAACTTCATTCTGCAACGACAAGAAAATACTACCTCCTACCTGTTTTGGACAATCTGGTAAGCTTCCTGAATTCAGTCTTACTTACTTCTTCAGAAACAGTCGCAGGTGAGTTGTCGGGTTCAGGTGTTTCATTAAGTCTTTCTACTTGGAATTCCTTCCGAATTTTTTTACTGTTATGCTGGTCACTATCGGAAAACTTCAGGGAGCTCGCACAGAGCTAGTGTTTGAAAGCAAGATATTTTTCAAATAACAAATAGCTCAACTCACTACTTTCATGACATCGTAAACGCGCAATCAACTATAAGCTACACTTGCGAATGAGTTGAAAGATAGCCTTAGATCTATTCCAGTTTTGCGTTTGGTTGCTATAATAGGTAGAACAACTTTACTTAGACAATTTTGTGAAGAATAACTTTGTTGGCCTTAGTTCTATTGCTGGGCTCATAGTTGTGAAAGGAATATGGAGTTGTAAAAAGAGGTTATATATATATATATATATATATATATATATATATATATATATATATATATATATATATATATATTGCAAGAGGGAGAAGTGATGGTCAGTTTCGATGCAACGAGCGTCTATACAGATATACCAATTAATAGAGCACTTCAGGCAGTCAGAAATGAAATCACAACTGATTACGAACTCAGAAAGAGAATTCAAGTCTCCATTGAAGAAATTATTCTAGGGAAACGATTGTGCCTAACTTCCACAGTTTTCAAATTTCAAAACAAAACATATAAACCAACAGAAGGAGTAGCGATGGGATCTCCGATTTCCCTCATCGTACCAGACATATTTGTGGACAATTGGGAAAAAAAATAGCATCAGAAGGATTCCAACTCATCCAAAAAGTATGGTGGTGATATGTAGATGACATATTTACTGTGTTTAAATCCGAACACATCCAGAGTTTTGTGGCACACAATAACTCGATAGCAGATGAGATCCAATTCACTTATAAACTAGAAAATGACGAAGACTTTCCTATGTTGGATTGCCAAATACAGAGGGTAGAAGATGGAAGCTTGGATATCAATATTTATGGAAAATCAACACGTTATAATAGATACTTAGATTTCACATATGACTAATATGTCAGGAAAGCTAAATAAGGTAAGTAAACATATCAAAGAGATACTGCTTCGTAATAACAACCCTCTGGAATTCATTAAGAAGTTTATTAGGACTGATAAGAGAGTGTTTTTGTTAGTGGGAGTTCAAATTCTCTGTGGTGTTACCGTATGAAGAAGACGCATCGGAAATTTTATGTAGAATTCCTAACAAAACTGGAATTAGGGTGGCAGTTGGACTCAGAAACTCGCTTAGAGAGAAAGTTTGTAGGCTAGAAGATCCAGTAGTACCAAATACCATGTAACAATCGTGAAGTCAAGTGTATAGGATAAAGCAGCCGATTTAGGTCAGTCAGAATATCATAACACAAAAATTTAGCGCAACACAACGGTAGATCCTACTAAGATGAATAGCTCAGAGAAAAACTCGGCTATCGCTGACCAGGCACTGACCCATAATCTCACCAAAGGGTGGGATACGGTGACAATTCAAAGATCTAATATAGTAGGCTGTGTGGAGGGAGAGATTGATCACGGAATCTTTGTTCATTAAATCCATACCTAACTCAAGTATGAGGAATGACTCGTCACATATTGCAGATATATAGAAAATTTCACTACCGTCAAAATAAACAGATGAACTGTTGGACTTTATAAAGGAAGGTTGAAAGTCGTATGATTACTTTGATATGAATTGTGCTCGAAACGTCATCCAGTAAATTGTGTGTCACTATGTGCCATATCAAATAACCAATCTAATATGGGTCTTAGCAGCGAGCAAGACACTATCACACTCCAAAAATGTGAAATAGAAGACTTGTACATGTCAAGATCATCAGTGATTAATTGGATCCAAACACCTCTGACATCGATTATGGCTACTGTGGAAGTTGGTTAAAACTAGAATCGGATTGTAATCTGTACAGAGATTAAGTACATGACCCCAGTTAATCGACATCAGCCAGTTCTTACTCTTTGCCGCGAAGCTTGTCCCCTCATCTCAGACACCTGACCTGTGGAATCATCTTCCAGTTAACCTTATGATAGTGCGAACACTTTATTGATAATAGAAATAATCACTGTTTGAATCTAGGTTGAAATCAGTTGGGGCATGTAGATGTGACGTTTGGTTTCAGAATAGTTAAGTTAAACCTAATGGACAAAAGTTTGTGGAATGTAACTATTTGATAAGTAAAAACGGCACAAATAAATTATATTTCTGACTAACGACGAGTAGATGTGTGAAATAAAGATAGTTCGCAGTAAAACAGTACACTCTAAATGTAAACCTAACAACCAGTGGTAAATGAAGGACATCTGTGAAGTAGCGGATTAGATAAATAGTGAAGGAACCAAAAGGTCCACTGACATTTTATCCTTCGAAGTCATCATTACAACTAAACTAAACTAAGTGGCTGTTTAAAGAACCACTATCCAAGTTTTTGACTTAGCAACTAAACTTAATGTGAAACAGTGTTGGCTGAAGGTGACTTGTGAAAGGTTGTATAGTGTTTGCAACCTATTGTTATCTGCATATCACCGGTTTAGAATCAAGGTTCTGAAAATTGCCTAGGTGAGCTCATGTATGACTTGTTCGTCATATACCCGTTTCGTACTTGCACTTTTGTGGAAAGGTACCCACCTCGTGAAGGTAATGAACAGGTTTTCGCTGACAGAGGTTGCCAAAGCATATCCATGTGACAAGAATTAATTCCCCCGCCCCCCCCTCCCTTACTTAGTCATACACAGGTAGTTGGGGAAATTAGTCATTTTCAACCTGACTTCTGTGCTAGGAAAGAAACTTCAATTTACTGTTCTTTACCTTGATAACTGTTTGTTATACTGTTATTACTACTAATATTTCATTTCAATTATCTGTTTGCGGTCGATGAAAGACCATGCAATAAAGTGAGCTCATTTTATTCTGAAAGTTATTTTGCCTCATTCAAATCTGTCAACCGGACTACATGTATGACAAATTCATAAGAGAAACCCGTTAAGTACCGACTAAAACAGTACTGCCAAAGACTAAAAAACCCTACAACATAACATGTGAAGGCTACATACAGGAACTAACCAAGCAAGGTTTCCGTACATAAAATTAATGCCTATAGCTAGGGGTTTATGGTGCATGAGGAATATTTTTTTCAGTCATATCATATAACGTTTTGATCAAGAGAATTTGTTGCACCATGAAATTTAAACTGACGGAAAACAAACCTGAAAAAGTCCATAAATACGTCCGATATCTCAACCTTGTCACGACTTGAAGAAATCACTACAGATATTTGAGTGTTGGACATGAATCTCCCACCTGAGAAATCCAATTAAGGATAAATATTACAGACCTGGATTGATAAGTGATGTTACGCTTAGGCCAAGAAAAGAAGCAAAGACATTCATTCCAACACAATAGCTCAAAGCAAGTACAGCCATTTTACCTTGCACTGAAGGTTTCAACTTGGATGACACTGAATAAAGTATCAGTTACGCATATTTTAAAACCATTGATACATTACTGGAAATAATATTGCCAGCTAGGAGTGGTATTACAGCAAAGTTTAGTGCCCTGATAAAAAGTTCTCCGGGAAGTCCTACAGTTTAAGGATATCGAATAGTTCCTTACCTATCCATAGCAGAACAGGTTCTGTGATAGAAAATATATTTAATATTACACCCAGTGATACACCCAGCACGATTCCAATGAAAGTCAGGATAATGGTAAGATTTCTTCGTATTTTAGATTTCCATCTGTAGATGCATCTTCCTAAAGACGAGTGCAATGTAGGACGTGAAGACCTGTCGAAATCCATGATGCTTTATCCGACAGATGAAACATTTAACACATTATAGGTCATATGTGCGTCTAACATTGAACAAGTCAAACAAAACCCGTTATCTGTGAACGGATTAATCTACACCAACTGATTTCTTCGCACTCGCTTCTACGTCCCACGAAACGGTTTCAGGTTTTTCGTGGATCCTGATCAAGTAGGTCTACTTGCTAGACTCCTGTAGCTTCAGCCAGCCCAACAGGCGGTTGGGTCCAATATCCAATACTGATAGTGCCAGCGTAGAAAACTGATGGTTTTTGATCCATTGCGCCTAGTTCTTAGGTCTCCATTCGAGTTGTTCGGTTCAATCCTGCAGTAGACGAGGAAATCCCCTCCACTTTCTTGTTTATAGCCTGAGGCTAAAATCAACCACGTAAGCGCTCATCCCGCGAAGATACACATCCAGACCTCCCCTCTCATCAGGCACACTCTAATATGTATGTACAGCAACGTTAGGGGGCTAAGAGGGAAGGCAGCGGAAATGAGGACGCTGCGTGCACATCAGCACTCCGACATCATATTCATCACCGAATCCTGGCTCTCATCGGACATCTCCGACGAAGAGATGCATGTTACTGGCATGGAACTCTTCCGCAGGGACAGGGAACCTAGAGCAGGAGGGGGAGTGGCTATCTACGTAAAATCCTGTTTAAAGGCAAGGATGGTTAGCGATACGGCCTTAACCCAGCTCCCAGAGTCTCTATGGTGCTACTTCACCCTCTTCTTTATTCTCTCTTCATTCCTTTACCACTACCTTACGATTCTCTTCCAGGTACCTACACAGACAGGAGTCATGGCAGTTCTCCAAACTTCCCAGCAACCCGTAGCTCCCTAATCACTCTACAAATTACAACCTACTAACCCACAAAACATTCACCTCACCGAGGCTAAAAGCAAGAAAGCAGAGGGGAGGAGATTTCCTCGTCCACTGCAGGAGCAAACCAAACAACTGGAATCAAGCCCTAAGAACTAGGCGCGAGAGATCAAAAACTACCAGTTTCCTAAGCTCGCACTATCAATATTGGATATTGGATAGCCTAGGTAAGGTTTTAGGAAATGTTCTGCTACAAACTTGACAGACGCAGAGGCCAATCACTAATTATTCGAACTTGTTATATACCCACTAATGGGAGAGCAAGAAAGAACACAACAGCGTAGTCGGATGGGACAGTGAATTTACGAGGTCGGGCCGAGGTACTGATGCGTTCCAACTAACCGGCTGAAGATTCGATTACGAGCAGTGCGACGCAACACGACGGGGTGCCAAATGACGAGCATGCTTGACCGGGTGCCTTCAGTCTAGCGAGTCCAGTTAGATCATCAAGGTCAGCATCAATGTTGAATCTTGTCAAACCCCAGGCTATAGATCACTCCTTCTCCAGTGGGTTCGTAAGAACGCTAAGACGATACCAGCCGGAAGTAAAAATCCAGTGGTTTCTGTGCTGGTTAAACTCTTTCGATGGGCTCACTGAGAGAAGTGGCCCCTGGTTTTCGGAAGTTATTCTAGGGTGACGGGGCAAATGAAAAATAAAATACGATAAATCGAATAGTATGTCGATCGCGTTCCCTAGTGTCATGTGACGTTCCGTTCAGTGCCCTTCGCGCCTGGAATATGAATAAAAGTCTTTAATACCACGAAAAAGTTCCGAAGAATTGGAGTTATTTATGTATAAATATAGTGAAAATGAAGTTTAAGCTTGATATAAAAAGGTCGAATGTGGGAGGATTTTCGCGTTGCCGGTAAAAGAAAAATGGTGCCGCGAAAAAAATCTTGAATTAAAAAAATGGTTGGCAGATTTCATTTCACACCACTAAGTTGAATACGACTTCAAATACTCCGGGAACCTGGAGGTTCGACCTGATAGTGTTTTTTGTTGCACCGGTGGTAGTTGTATCTGTGCATTACCAGACACATCGTCGAGAATTTCGATAATTGGGCTATCCGCCGGTCGGCCACAGCCAGCTGGAAAGTCGCTCATAACGGGGTTGCCCTCGAAACGAGCCGGTTTCGAACGGTCGATACCAGCAGTATCTTCACGACAGTTTCGCTGGATTATATAGAATTTCTCGTGTCGCTTGATCACTTTGAATGGCCCATCGCAGAGTGGTTCAAGTGGTGATGAATGAACACGTGTAATGTCTTTTGTAAAATAGGGCGAACGAAGATATCAGTCGTTTGAGTTCTAACCGGAGGAGGCCTAACTGAACGCATTGCGTTTGTGAGCCTAGTCACGTAAGATGCCCTGTCGGAAACACGTTTGAAAGTTGAAGGGGAAAAAACCAGCCTGATGGACGGGGAGTGGTCCCATCGACGAGTTATGCAGAGGTAAATCCAGCATCAACTTTCAACGCGTTACTGATACCCAGTAGGACTAGAGGCAGAGCCTTGGCCCACTGAGGTGTATTTGCAGCTGGAAAGAAAGCTTTCAGCTGTCGATGGAAGCGTTCTACCATGCCATTCGCTCGCGGACGGTGAGCTGTCGTTCGGAAGCAAGTGAGCCGTAGAAGTCTAGTTAGAGCGTGAAGTAATCCACACTCGAATTGGAGCCCAGGGTCGGTTGTGACGTAAGATGGACATCCAAAGTTTTTGCGATCCACCTCACTGCGAAAACACAAGCTACTCTTTCGGCAGTAATATCCTGATAGGTACTGCTTCCGGCCATCATGTGAAACGATCCACGCAAGTGAAAAGGTAAGTATATCCGTTAGATTTTGGTAGAGGTCCTACAATGTCCAGATGGGCGTGGTCGAGACGCATGTCTGGGGCTAGAAAAGAACCTAAAGGACTTTTCGTGTGTTGTATAACTTCACACTTCTGATAAGCTTATCATGACTTAGCACACTTCTTAACGCCTTTGTCCGTTTCCAGCCAGCAGAAAAGTTGGGCAATGAGCCTGATGATGGCTCGTACGACTGGACCAGACAGTTTGTACGACGTATGGAAGACGTTCGGTCGGCATCTCTTTCGGGACTATTGGGCATGGTCGACTAGCAGGGACATCGCATAAAATTGTATCCTTGTCTGATCCAACTGGACAGTTGTAGCTTGAGGGCTGCAGACGACAACCCATGACGCAGCCCAAGGTCTCCTTTTTGGCGCCAAGCTAGTTCAACGAAATGAACGCCCTAGATTCAGCTTATCGAAGCTATTCGAGATAATGCGTCGGCTACGGAGTTATTTGCTCCAGAAATATGGTGGATGTGTGGTGTGAACTGGGAAATGTAATCCAGCTGTCGCAACTCACGGGTGAGTATTTGTCAGACAAAAGGCCAAGAGGGAAGGTTAACGGTTTGCGGTCTGTGAAAATTATGAAGCCACAACCTTCCGCCAAGTGTTGAAAATGGCGTACAGAACAGTTCATAGCTGAGAGTTCCCTACCAAATGTACCGTATCTTGTTTCCACCTCTTGCAGCCGCCACGAGAAAAAGGTTGAAGGTTACCACTGGTTGTCAGCCAACTGTTGCAAAACTGCTCGAATCGCTGAGTCCGATACATCGGCAGCAATACTCAGAGAAGCATTGGAGCCGTGATGCATAAGAATGGTTGCGTATGAAATAGCCTCCCCGGTTTTGGAGAAAGCAAGTCTAGCCTCGTTGTGCAGAGTCACGCACTTCGTAGCTCCTCAAAGTAGACCTGTGAGTGGTCTCGTGACAGAAGCACGGTTGGAAGTAAACCTTCTGTAATAACTTACCAGGCTAGTAAAAGTGTGGAGCTGCTTCACAGTGGTCGGCTCTGGATGGCCCGTGGTGGCGGTCACTTTATCTGTCAATGGGCGTATGCCTCTGTTTTCAATGGTATCCTCAAGGAAGCTGAGTGATCCGACTCCTACTTTACACTTCCGCAGGTTGACTGTGACGCCATATTTTCTCAGCCCACTAATATGAGGTTCGAATGTATAAGGTGAGTTTCCTCATCTGGACTCGCAGTGAGACAGCCATCGATGTAGACGTGGACAAAAGGTAAACCACGGAATACATCATCCATAAAGCGTTGGAATGTTTGTACTGCATTCCGAAGAAAGAATGGCATGCGCAGGAATTCAAACAAACCAAAAGGAGTAATTATGGCTGTTTTTGCGATATCTTTTACTGCCATGGGTGTCCGAATATGCGCTTTGACCAGATGGATTTAGGGGAATATCTCGATCCCGAATAACGCCGCAGTCAAGTCGTAAACGTGAGGTATCGAGTAGAAGTCTGGTGTTGTTTGGGCGTTGAGCCTTCGGTAATCGCCGGTTGGATGCCAGCCGCTGCCATCCTTTTTGGGAACCACATGCAGTGGTGATGCTCAAGGTCTACTTGAAGGTGTGATAATGTCCCGTTCGAGCATTTGGTCGAAATCACTCTTCACCGTTTCGAGCTTATCAGGGCTAGGCGGCCTGCTTTAGATGCCACGGGTGGACCAGTGGTTTTGACGTGGCGCACAACACTGCTGGTTATGCATGGAAGAGTATGCTCCGGTTGTTGTAACTCTGGATATTTCTCCGACACTGCCCGGTAGGACGCGGCACCTGACTGCTTAATTCTCACGATGGTCATACTTGGACCTACGTAGGTGGTCCCACCAATAGACCTAGGGCTTCGAGTTTGCAGCGGCTGCTTAACAGAGTTGCACAGCTTGGTCATCTCTAAATCCCGGCTCCCTGGTTTGTCGCAGACAGAATATACGTTGGAGACGGGTCTGCTAGAAATCTCCGGTATTTTATCTGCCGAGGCTGCCAGGTCATCGAGTGGGACTGACTGCAGTGTTACCAACACGGTTTGCACCGGTTGTGGTAGTTTTGAGAGAAATAGTTCCCGGAAAAGGCCATCGTCGAATGTTCATGCACCCATAACTTCTCGCATGCGTGCAAGGACTTCAGTAGCTGAGTGGCTGCGTAGGTCGATGCTACGAAGTAATTCGTCTAGGCGCTGGCGATCTGTGAGATCGCCTTTCTTCAAGAGTGCGGCCTTGAGAAGTGCACAAGATCACTTACTTCAGGATTAAACATGTGTGCCGTAACATGTTTGTTTAATTCCCGCGGTAATAAACGTATAACA